TTCCTTCCTTCCTTCCTTCCTTCCTTCCTTCCTTCCTTCCTTCCTTCGCAGGGGGTTGGACTACAAGACCTCTAAGATCCTTTCCAACTCTGTTTCTCTTTTGTCGTGATTAGTTTTAAAGTTGGTCTCCCCCCACCAAAGGGAATTGTTGTGCCTAGACAAGTAGCTTGGTGAGTTGATAGCTCAACACAATATTACGCAAAACTTAGAAAATGGGTAAATTTAAGAAACAGGTGGAACGTGTTCAGCCCTGCCATAAATGGCCAAAGCTACCCCTTATCTATTCATCACATGTGTGTCTCTGCAGTGATATCAGTCTGGCTCCTGGTTTAGAAAATATTTTTCCCAGGGGCGTTTTTCGGATCAGACAACATGGCCAGTTGAGGAATTTCCATGCGGAATTCACTCTGCAGGGCTCATCTTCCATATTTATTTTGTCATATTTATTTTTGTCGCCTTTGTGGTTTTTTTTTTTTTTTTTTGGTCTTTCCTGCAGGCAGATCAGGAGCGGTGCCGAGAAATTTCCTTACTCGATGACATTTCATCGCGATGTCCGATCGTTCGGGGCAAATAACCAAGGGAAAGGATGGGAAAACCAAGTATACAACGCTCAGCCTGTTTGATAAATATAAAGGAAAGTCAGTAGAAACAGTCAGAAGTACAGGTGAGCCACGGGGAAAGGATGGACAACAAGGTGTGTGTGTGTGTGTGTGTGTGTGAGAGAGAGAGAGAGAGAGAGAGAAAGAAGATTTTGCATTTAAACCTGCCATCTTTCTATAATATTTGCACCTGAGTGGGTGATGGCTGTTCTCCTTCTCCTGCTGTAGTTATTCCTAGACATGGCCTGCAGAGTCTTGGGAAAGTTGCTTCCGCACGGCGCATGCCACCTCCTGCCAACCTGCCAAGTTTGAAATCGGAGCACAAAGGAAACGACCCCAATATCATCATCGTGCCGAAGGACGGAACAGGATGGGCAAACAAGCAGGACCCTCCAGAGCAAAAGAGGTGAGGTGGCCGTTTCCACCTTTCCTTCTTTGGAAAGGACCAGCCCTTCGAGGTAGTCCAACTCCAGCCCTTCGAAGTAGGCCAGGATCAACCCTTTGAGGTAGGCCAGGCCAAGATGCTTCAGAGATAACAGGAGCTGAATAGATTATGACCACAGAATCTCTTCCCTATTTCTTTTTTTTTTCAAATAGTTTTAGTAAGAATTCCAAGTCACAAGAGAGAGAGAGAAAAAAAAGAACTCGTATGCAAGGAGTGTAGAAATGCAAAATGAAGTTATTTTAAAAAGCGTATTAAAAAAAAAAGAAAAGAAAGGAAAATAAAGAAGTAACTTCCTCCTTCATCCCAGCAAGTAAAAAAACCCACCTGAATAATTTAGTCCTATTTTTCTCCACAAGCATAAAGTTCAGAAATGGTTTCCAAGGTGAAACATAATTAATGGTATTTTCTTCCTTAATCAAAGCAAATTTATAGCCGTCTCTGTTGATTCCCATCCAACTTTTACAGCCATTTGTCCATTGTGGGCAAAATCCAACTCCTTTTTTTTTAAAAAAAAAAAGCTTTGTGAAATCAACCAAGATTTACAAAAATAAAATCCCGCCGATCTTCCGATACTCACAGGGGCTTTCTCCTTCCTTTTGTGTCAGTTCCAATTGCACAGCCACACAGCCGCAGGAGTTGCTGCCGCAGCAGGATTTACAGAAATCTGTCTCCAATTTACAGAAGCGGAGCCCGTCAACCAGCCAGGAGGTAAGTAGGGCAAAGATGGGAGTTCGAATTCAAATTCTTGGCAACTGGCATGTACTTAAGACAGTTGCAGCATCCCCAGGTCATATGAACCCCTTTGGGCGACCTTCTGTACAAGCAAAGACGAAGGGCGAAGCCAGATTCACTTAACAGCCGCATGACTTGCTGAACAACGGCAGTGATTTGCTCAGCAAGAAAGGTCATAAAACGGGACAAAGCTCAGTGAACGACTGTCTCGCTTAGCAATGGAAATTTTGAACCCCGTTGAGGTCCTAAGTGCAGGACTTCCCGTAATTGCTCTTTTTCTTATCCTTCCGCAGAATACAAATTCAGCACCCGGTGGTGTAAAATCATGGGCGCAGCTGAACGGAAAGCCAGCCAGACTAGAAGCTGGTAAGTATCCCCCGTCTGCGGGCATTTTGTACTTAGGCAGGTCTGTCTTTCCTGTCCCAAGTTGGAAGGACGATGTTCTGACCTAGGTTTCCCCAACACCATGAAGCCCGCTCCTTGTCCCCAAAAACCCAATTACCGACCTTTTTCAGGCTTGTAGAGTTACCAGGCTGATATCTTTCAGACGCCATACTTTAGCAAGAATGCAGGAACAGATCTTCATCCAAATGGAACTAATTGTTTCCTGAAAGCCCCATTCCCCTTTTATTCCCTATGGGAGGGGCCATTCACCATCCAACTGTGGCTTTAATCCCAAATAGACCCTGTTCCTTAGCTGTTCCCTTCTTCTGGCAGCTCTGCGCATGCGAATACTGGGAACAGGCTCCAGCTGTTCTTCTTCCCCACTGATCTCCAACTCCGAAGACAGCTGATAGCTGTCGGACGGCCCTGGCCCCATCTCTACTTCCGACGCAGAGCCTTCCCCAGACTCCAGGACTGGCCCATGTTCCTCCCCAACCTCCTCGCTGTCCGAATCTGCTACCAGCTCCGCTGGCGGGCCACAACAGACAAGCCTTGTGGATGGTGCCGTCCCTGATCCCTGGGCCTCTCTTTCTCTCCTTCCCAGGTTCAAGGGTCTCAAACCGACTGTTATCCTTCTCTCCCGAGGATTTTCCAACGTTGAAAGCAGCTGGAGAGCAGGACAGGTCTGGAAAAGAAAAGGGCACCTTAGATCCGTCGTATGGGCCCGGACCAAGCCTCCGCCCCCAGAGTACGTACCTGGGACATGGCCTCGCCTCCTTGCCCAGGGGGACAACCTGGGGGTACCTGGAAAATGACGTTTGTGTGGGAAGGAAGAGGGTAGCATGATAGCAGTCTTCCAATACTTAAGGGGCTGTCACCTCCTCATTTATCTCCCCCTCCTTATATATTTCCTTCCTTCCTTCCTCCTTGGCATCCTAATTTATCTTCTCCTTCCCTTCCCCTCTCTCATAAAAGCCTGAACCAGGGGACGAAGAGTGAGTCAGTAGACAGAAATATTCAGAATTTGGAGAATCCAAGAATCCTTAACGTTTTGAAAGATGCTTGAAATCATAAAAAAAAAAAAAACCTACCACACGGATGCCCTAACGTTGCCAATTGTTTTCTCTCTCTGTCTTTCTCCTCCCTTCTCTCTTTTCCTTCTTCCTTCCTTTTACTTTTTCTTTCATTCTTTTTCTCTTTTTTCTTTCATTCTTTCTCTTTTTCTTTCTTTCATTCTTTCTCCTTTTCTTTCATTCTTTCTTTTTCTTTCTTTCTCTTCTTTCTTTTTGTCTTTCATTCTTTCTCCTTTTCTTTCATTCTTTCTCCTTTTCTTTCATTCTTTCTCTTTTTCTTTCATTCTTTCTCTTTCTCTTTTTTTCTTTTTCTCTTTCTTTCTTTTGCTCAGATGTGACAAGCTGGAGGGAAGGTGGTGGCAGAAGCAGCTCCTTGGCCACCTCTTTCTCCCCCTTCCCAACTGAGCTGGGTACCAAGAGCTCCAGCGCAGGAGAGGAAGCCCCGGTCTCAGCCAACGGGGCCGATCCGAAGCAGCCCTCCCTTCGCCCTTGTCTGCCTCACCGCAAAGGAGCGTCCCAGTTTATGGCAAACACCTACCAGCCACCCACCTACCACGACATGCTTCCTGCCTTCGTAAGTCCTTTTTTATCTACTGCTTTCCAAGAGACTGGAAGCCTCCAGTGAGCTTCCTAAATACAGGCATCCCTCGACTTAAATCACGTGTCCGTGAGGTTCTGGCCATGGTTGTATGTCGTCTTCCCAGGAAAGACGACGTCTTTATCCGTTTCTAACCCTTGTTTTTATATCTGCTATCCCATCTCAGATGTGTTCCAATCCGCCAGCCGAGACCCCAAGCTTGCCTGAACGAAGCTCCTTTCCTCTCCCTTCCTTCTGTCTGGAACCCCGCGTCCCCTTCCGACAACATCCACCCAGTGACCAAGACGGGTAAGTCGAGAGACAGCCCTCAGCTCTCTCACACGCACACTGACAGGACGCGAGCCAGGTGAACCCCGATGGACGCTGGCAGGCAGAGGCGGAATTTCCCCCCCTTATTTTCCTCCCCCAAAATTAAGCCCGACCACATAGTTTCGTAGCAAAGAACAGGGGGTCGAGCTGATTTGCTAATATTCCCGTTGAGATGAGTTTGCAAATCTATGAATTCCCAGGGAGAGATCTTACTCGTTCGTCTCCACCCTTGGCCCCTGATCTCCAAAGATCTGGAGATCTTTGTTGAAGATACGCCGAATCGGGCCGGTCTTAACCTCTTGCCTCTGCTGCTTGTAGAGGTTTTACACGCCTCCTTTCTCCACCAAAATGTTTTCCCGAACTTTTTCTCCGTGGCAGAAAAGACAAGCGCCTTGGGGCCCCACGCCCAGTCCGTCCGGTCCGTCCGGCGGGAGAGCGAGTCCCCAGACCAACCATTATCAACGCAGAGAACCTGAAAGGTCTGGATGAGCTGGACAATGATACGGAGGACGGCTGGGCAGGTAAGCCCCTCTCATTCGGGTCTTGTCCTAAAGAACCTCTCTTGCACACCTTGGTTTGAAAGAGTTTAAGGAAGCTCCCTTTTTTTCTAGGCTGTGTAACGAATTGTGGTGGCACTTAGAGGGGTTAGGGTTAGTCTTAGATTCAGGATGAGGATTAGCTAGGCTGCGCTTGGAAACAAAAGGCTTTGGATTAGTTTTAGGCTTAAAGCTATGCTAGACAAAGCCATGGCTACCAACCCGCCTTCCATGGAGGACGTGTATACAGCACGAGTGAAAAAGAACGCCGTGAAAATATCTATACACCCCTCACGTCCTGGACATAAACTCTTTCAACTCCTACCCTCAAAGCGACACTAATAGAGCATTGCACACCAGAACAACTAGACACAAGGACAGTTTTTTTCCTGAACTCCATCACTCTGCTAAACAAATAATTCCCTCAACACTGTCCAACTACTTATACTCTATTACTATTATTTTTCTACTACTAGATTATAATACTTCCTAGTACATCTTTCTTCCTACTTATGAGTATAATTGTGTTGCTTGTATCTTTACAGTTTATATTGTTTTATTTGTTTCCTAGTATGATTTGATTGCTTATTAGTAATTTATGACTATCACTAAGTGTTGTACCTTATGATTCTTGATGAACGTATTTTATTTATTTTTTCTTTATGTACGCTGAGAGCCTATGCACCAAAGACAAATTCCTTGTGTGTCCAATCACATTTGGCCAATAAAGTATTCTATTCTATTCTATTCTATTCTAGACTAGTCCAGACTTAGAAACAAATAGCTTTTGCTTTTAGTGTTCTGCAAAAGAGCCCGACAAACTGATTCCTTATTTGGTGATTTCAGTGAAATAGCAGCGGGTTTGTTTCTCCTCATTCGGTTCCTTGCTTTTTCTAGGAATCCACGACGAAGTGGATTATTCCGAAAAACTGAAGTTCAGTGAGGATGAGGAAGAGGAAGAAACCCCCAAAGACGGAAGGCAGAAATGGTAAATGGAAAGAGATCCACGTGTAGCGGGTTACTGTGTCTTGTGTAGAAAAAAAGTCTGGGTGAGTTTGCTCCAATCACCAGGTGACCGTGAGTTCTAGTCCTGCCTTTGGCATAAAAGACAGTTGGGTGACTTTGGGATAATCATCAGGAGATGGGGAGTTCTAGTCCCGCCTTAGGCATTGTAGCTGGATGACTTTTGGCCAATCCCTCCTTCTCAACCTATCCCACCTCACAGGGTTGTTGTGGGGAAAAGAGGAGGAGGAGGAGGAAAGTATTAGGTACGCTCACCGCCTTGAGTTATTTATAAAAACAATATAAAGGCAGGATATAAATACATGAATTAAAAGGGCCTCCATTGGCAGGAACAACTGGGATCCCCGAAGGCCGCCTTCGCTGAGCTCGGCCGAAAACACCGACGTCCGGTACCCCACAGAGGACCCCAAGACTTGGAACGACTCAGCCAGCCTCTCTCGGTCCATCCGCAAAGTGTCGGAAAGTCTACCAGGCTCAAGAAAGCTGAACGGCTGGAGCCCTCTGCCAGAATATCAGGTATTTCGAAGAGGGCCCCAAACTGCCAAATTCACAGCTTGAGAATGGATGCACCGATCCCTGGTTTGGCGAGTAATTTGAAGAGAGCAAAAAAGTCTAAAATTTGGATTTCCCCTTTGCACGCACACATACAAAATTCTCTACACGTAAGCACCAGCTGAACTCCAGAAGGTTAAAAACCGCCCAATGCAAAAGTAGTCCTTGACTTACAACAGTTTGTTTAGTGAGTGTTCGAAGTTACAAGTCAAACGGGACTCAGGGCCGTTTCTCATATAGAACCGTTGCAGCATTCCCACGATCACGGGCTCAAAATTCAGACACTTGGCAAGTGGCTCCTATTTATTGATCGGAAGTCGCTTGTTTCAATGCTGTTGCAGCTTCAAAGGGTTGCAGGGATGACCAGCAACCAGCAAATTCGGCTTGATTTGACTTTGTCGCCTTTCTAACGAGGCAGCTGTATGGATTTCCGCACCCTTATCTCACGTCTTTGTTGTGATGTCGGTTTCTTCGTTCTTGCCCAGAAACCCCCATTGTCATGTCTGCGGCAACAGTGTTCAGAAGAAAAAGAAGAGAAGCCGCCGCTGAGACAGAAGTTCATCTACTCGGAAATGTCGGAAGCCGTCGAGCGGGCCAGGCGGCGACGGGAAGAGGAAGAGCGAAGAGCGCGGGAAGAGCGCCTGGCTGCCTGCGCGGCAAAACTGAAGGAGCTGGATCAGAAATGCAAGCTCGCGCAGAAAGCGGGAGACGGTCCCAAACACGGCGAGAGTGATGAACCCCCATCCTCGACCTCGGAGAAAAACGCCGTCTCGGAGAACAGCCACGTAACTCGGATAGGTAAGGCCGTGCAGATAGGCGTATGCTTCAGACGTTCAGGTAGGACCCGGACGCTGCAAACCACTTGTCCAGAAAAATGGAGTGTAGGTCCCATTGTGTCAGGGACCACTTGTTGCCAGATATAAGAGAATTTAACAGGGATTGGACGTGGATTGCTTACAGGGACTCCAGGCTGATTACTTGCTTGACGCCGCCTCCAGGTTCTGCCTTGTCTTTTCCTACATTTAAATGGCAAGCTTCTCCTTGGTCCTATGTTAAGTCTAGCTGATGTAATGATATGTGGGAAAGACATGAGATTGGGTGAAAGATAAAGAGTTTGATAAGAGACAGCATAGCCCAGAGCTGCATAAGGGACAGCGAAAGAGTCTCTAAAGAGACTCTCTAGTTTCTCAGACTGCAAAAGAGACAGTGGAAGATTTGTCCTTTCAGATTTGCAAGGTTCTGTTAATGCAACTTCAGAGAACAGTCCAATAAGAGAGGGCACAGCCCAGAACTGTACAACGGGGGTAGAAAGAGGCTTCCGGATTTCACAGGCTGTAAAAGGGACAGTGAGAAATTTGTACTTTCAAGAGTTGCAAGATTCTGTTTAATGCAGCTTTATAGTAAAGTAGAATCAGTTCATAGGTTTACAACGGGTCACTTAGCAAGCATTCAAAGATATGACACACACATCCCAAAGAGACTTCCCATCCTGCTAAAGTGTTCGCTTAACGACCACTGTGTTCGCTTTATAACTGCTGCAGAACAGCTCATAATAATCGGGAGCGATCAGATTTTGCGACTTACGACTCGCAAACCTAATATCAGAACGGCCCACTAATACGATGGTCACCACTTTGCGAACGTAAAGCAAACATGCCTTTTATCCGTTGTGTTTCCCGCCTGGCCCTGCCTGGTAAGGCTGACGTGCAGCTCCGTTGCTTTCAATTTTTGCCTTCTCCTTTCCGTCCTCCTCAGCCGTCCCCGAGTCTCACACCCAGGACCCCTCTTCTGGTTACGTGGATGAGGAGACCCCAACAGCTGCCTCCACAGCGCTCCGGAGTAGCAGCGAGGAGGAGCTGCGCGAAACCGTTTCCCCCATGCAGGAATTCGGCAAATTCCCCAAGCTGCTTCCTCCGCGGTTCCAGAGAAAGCAAGTAAGAGACGGAAAATGGTTTTGGATCGTTGTTCTCATTCATTTGGGTTTTTTTTTCGCAAAGCGAGTTGAAGTTTGAGTATGAGTGTGTTCCTCCTTGGGGTTAACAAGCCTGGATCTGGCCAAAGATTACAACTTTTCAGCACTGCAGCAGTTGTTTGCATTTATTGATTTAAATTTAGATGTCAGGCATACAATCCCAGGGCCTGAGCGGTCTTCCAGTCCCTCGAATATTGTAAGACTGCTGTCACGTCATCCATAATCCTTCTCTTCATTAGGCCTGGCTCTTCACTATCCCTCATACGGTTTAGCCTCCAGACAAAAGGCATATCAGAAATGTAATTACGTTTTACCTCGAAACGAGTCCTAGAATGTGGATTTCAGCCTGGTTTCACTATCTGGCTGTCCTGCCGTGCTGGTGGGTGCTTTCTGGCTGGAATATATATATATATATATATATGGTTCCCAGATACTCTTTACCTCCAAATCATATTGGCAAAGTCTTGTCTGTGTTGCTTTGCAGATTTTTTTTTTGTTAGCTTGCTTTCTTTTATGATATATAATATTTCATATATGTGTGTGTGTGTGCGTTACCTGATTGATGAAGGGATGAAGGGTAGAAATCCACACAATTAATTTCCTTTTCAAAGTCTTTTTTTAAAAAAGATGCTTTTCTTTTCAATGTCTTTGTAAGTTTGCTTTTCTTTCCAGTGTCTTTTTTTTTTAAAAAAAATTGCTTTCCTTTTCGATACAAGACTTCTCAGTGCCACATCTACCGTTAGCACGTTAATTACTTTTCCGTGTTTCCTTTCAGGACCACCTCTACAAAATGCAAAACTGGCCACCCTCCCAAGTCTATCCACCTTCTTCCCACCCTCAGCGGACTTTCTACCCGGCCCACCCACAGATGTTGGGGTTCGACCCTCGATGGTTAATGATGCCTTCTTATATGGACGCTCGAGTCACCCCGGGACGCTCACCTGTGGATTTCTACCCTTCATCCCTTCATCAATCAGGTAAAACACCTGTGAAATTCAGGGGAAAAAATGATAATTGTATGGTGCTTGTAAGTTTCCAGTTCATTCTTTATGTTTTACTTTTATTTTCCCCCGTTTTTTCATTCATCTATTCTTTCCCCTTTTCTCTTTCAACAAGGCTTATCTATTCATTCATGCACTCATGCCTTCTATCCATCCATCTACCCATCCATGTCTTTTATCTACCCATCCATCCATCCTTCAATCCACTGCTTCTGTCTCTCTCTTTCTCTCTCTCTTGATTTCATAGAATATATTTATCGTCTATATCATCTATCAATCCAGCCATTTTTTCTCCATCCTTACATCAACCCATCCATGTCTTCTATCTCTGTCTCTCCCTCATTATCTGTTTAGCCATTTTATCCATCCCTCCATCTATCCATCCCTCCATGTCCAATGCCTCCATCTCTCCATCCATCCACCCATTCATGTCTTTTACCCAACCATCCATCTTTGCCTTCTCTCTCTTTCTCCATCTCTGTGTCTCTTTCACTATCTCATCCCTCCATCCCTGTCGTCTCCCTCTTTCTCTCCATCCCATCCATCCATCCATCCACTGGCTTCTGTACAGTAGTGGGATTCAAAAAATTTTTTTACTACTGGTTCTGTGGGCGTGGCGTGCCTTGGTGGGCGTGGCAGGGGAAGGATACTGCAAAAATCCCCATTCCCTCCCCACCCCGCTAACCTGCTTTCCAGCTCCGTTCTCCTGTGCAGGGCAACCAAAGAAGACCCAGCCGATCAGCTGGGACTCAGTGGGAGGCAGAGAAGAGATGGGGTTGGCGGGGCCGGTCATTTTCTGCTACCGGTTCTCCAGAACTGGTCAGAACCTGCTGAACGCCGCCTCGGCTTCTGTATCTTTACTGCTCTAAAATTGTAATAAAATCCAGTTTGATTTGACTTTGTCTTCTTGCGTTGAAAAACCAGAATAAATTTCCTCTCTATTTCTTACCGCTTAGGCAGCAGCAGTGAGTGGGATCTGTCTTATCTTTTTCTCTCTTTCTAACCCGGCTAGGGATGGTGAAGCCACCGGATTCCATGAACGGGGGCAGCTGCCCACCGGAGGAGCAGAGCTGCCAATCTGTGGGGCTACAGGAGAGAAAAGAGGAAGTTACCTCCCTCTGGGATCCGGAAAGTTTTGTCCCCCTGCCAAGCAAAAGCTGTCCTGTTTCCCAGCCAAAGCAAGCAGAGAGCGGGACAGAGGAAGGATTACACACCAGGTAAAGTATAGGCTCACCTTGATGGAGTTTCAGGTGCTAAAATACAAGTAGTCCTCGTTTAATGACCGTGTTGGGAGATGGACAGCTTGGTCACTAGAAGAAGCGGGCGCGGAGTGAAACCGCCCTTGCTTATGATCTTACTTCAGCTACTTCAAAGACCTGCGAAGGTCGGCTTGCGCATGAAGTTACTTTTTTCCTCCCTAGGTAACGGCGTACGGTCTCTAAACAAGGCATTGGGTAAACCAAGTCTACCTGTAATGGGGCTGCCATCCATTGGATTCCTTGTTTTTTTGTTTTTAGAGGGAGGTTTGTTTGGAGTCAGTGTTGAGTAGCTCCAGTATGCTGTAGAAAGAGAGGCATTCTTTCGTCTCGCCTACAAATCTGAAGCATTTTACACAAAGGTTAGGCCATGTTGGCCTTTCTGCCCTTGCAAATATAAAGCTGCTGAGAGCCTGGCAAAAACAATTAAAACTGATCTCATATTTTATCTGCCATTCAGCAGAGACGGTACGAGCCCATCTCCCCTCTTTAATACAGGTGGACTTACTGCCTTCATTGAGCCCCAAAATCTTCTGTCGCTAAGTGAGACAGTTGTTTAAAAGGAGTTTTGCCCCATTTCACGACCTTCCTTGTCGCGGTTGTTAAGTGAACTTAGTAACAATAGCTCTGAAGTGAATCTGGCTTCCCCGTTGATTTTGCTTGTCCGAAGGGGATCATGTGACCCCCAGGAGACTGCAACTGTCATAAGTACATGCCAGTTGCCAAGCCTTTGAATTTTGATCACGTGATGCTGGTTGTGAGCATGAAAAACCGTCGTAAGTCACTTTTTTCCAGTGCCGTTGTAACTTTGGTCACTTAACAAATTGCTGTAAGTTGAGGCGTACCTGTAATTTCTCCCTCTTATTCTGTAGCAACCACTTGGGAGAGCGTTAGTGAAAAAACATCGTTTTTCCTGTTCCCCAGCTCCTTAACATGGAATTCCTTCTTTTTTGGGGGGGTTCCTTTTTTTTCAGGGTGGAGAATTCTTACTCTGCACCCTCGGGGCTAAACACTCAACATGACTTCTTTGAAGAAGTTGGAGAAGACTACTTAAGCTCCTTTGAGAAGAAACCCCAGGGAAATTTCGACCGATGCGTCAGTCCTGCCCAAAGGACGCCCCAAGAACGCATCTTTCAGCCCCCCGAGTGCAGCTCTGACCTTTCCGATCCTTGCGATAGGAGCCTGTTGAATTCTCCTTTGGAGTCCGGTTCCATTCCGGATGAAAAGAAGTCCGAATACAATGGTTGGGAGATCAGCCATTTTTCCAAACCCTTGGAAGAGTCGCCTTCGGGGAAAGAAGAGCTGTTCCAGGAGGACTCCTTGTTTGGTTCGGAGATGTGGAAGAAGGATGGATCTGCCAGCAAGCAAGCCAACCCTGGAACTGGGTGGACGACTCCCGAGAACCGAAACACCAACGGTCAAACACTACAGCAAGAGCAAACGGGCAGAACCCGTCGATCCGGTCCGATAAAAAAGCCGGTCCTAAAGGCTCTTAAAGTGGAGGAGAAGGAAAAAGAACTGGAGAAGGTGAAGGTGGAGGGCGAAGAGACGTCCCATCCCGTTAAAGAAAAGGGCCCCACGCCAAAGGCATCAGAGGAGATGAATCCTGGAGCCGTTGTCCACTCCACTCGCTACCGCTTGTTGGACGAGAGACCCTCCCCACAAACCCCTGTCCAGGACAACGAGAGACATCATGAAGACAACGAGGAGGACAGCAAAGAAAAGGAGAAGATAGCCAAGGACTCGGAGGGCAAGAATCAGTCAAGGGAGTTTGCCGAGCTGCCTCCAACCAAACGAAACAACTGGATCTTCATCGATGAGGAACAGGCCTTTGGCGGACGGGGGCAAGGACGGGGCCGTGGACGCGGCTTCCGAGAATTCACCTTCCGAGGCCGTAGCAACACGGTGGGATGCGGAGGCGTGGCTGCCGCTGGTAGCGGCGGCGGGGCGAATCTCCGAGGCGGTTACAATAGCAGCAACGGCGGGGGTCCCCCGAGAAGTAGCCGAGGACGAACCTTGAGAGAGTTCAATCAGGGGGAGGAGTTCCCGCGGGGAAAGCCCAGGCGCCGGATTGCGAGCGAGACCCACAGCGAAGGCTCCGAGTATGAGGAACTGCCCAAGCGCCGGCGTCAAAGGGCCTCCGAGAATAATAACGAGGGTTCCCTGGCCGAGAAAGAAGAGGGCGATCTCAAGAAAGGGGATTTCCAGGACTCCTGGAGATCCAATAAGATCTATTCCGATGATCAGGACGCCAAGTTGAGGACCCCGCGAGCTTTTGGGCGATCGTTACCCCCAAGATTGAGCAATTCCACTTACGGGCGCCGAGGATTCATTTCCAAGGAGTTTCCCCAGTGGCAGAGCCGAAATGGTGGAAATACTTGGCAAGAATATGGGCACAACGCCCCTCTGGATGCCTTTGGCATCAGGCGTCTACCAGAGAGGGATTACAGCCAAGAGTCTTACAAGGCTTCGGACTCGTTTAGCCGACGGGTGTTTGAAGAGGACTACGGAGGGGATCCTGAAAACGTGGAGAACCGGCCGTTCCGTCGACGGCGCCCCCCTCGTCAGGACAAACCTCCCCGGTTCAGGCGCTTGAGGCAGGAACGTGAGTCCGTGGGTCAGTGGACGCCCGAAGATGGTGGGGCCAACCTTATCGCTTGCCAGTGGCCCAGGAGAGCCAAACTGGTCACGACCGATTATAACGGTTCCTCGAACAGAAGATCTCCGGAACTCTCCTATCAGAATACCTCAGATCACGCCAACGAAGAGTGGGAGACGGCCTCGGAAAGCAGCGACTTCAGCGAGAGGCGGGAAAGGAGGGGAGGCGGGAACTCGGAGAACGAGGCACCGTTGGATGGCGGGGTGCCCGGAAGCACCTTGGGGGAGAAGAGAGACCTGGCCAAGAGGAGCTTCTCCAGCCAGAGGCCTGTGGTAGATCGGCAAAGCCGGAAATCTGATCCCGTAGGATTTGGGGAGAAAGCCATACGAGCCGGTGGGAACCGACCGGCGTCCTACTACGAAAACCAGCAGAACGTGCTGCAAATGAGGAGCAAAAGGTAATAATCTTCCCCTTTCTAAGAAAAGAGGGAAAGTATTTGCATACAGAGCGTACCTCTTGAGATCGTGCGGACTTCAACTCCCAGAATTCCCTCGTCTGGGGAATTCTGGGGGTTGAAGTCCACATATATCAAAGTTATTAAGGTGGAGAAACACCGGGTCTCCCTTAAGAAAACAGAGACTGTATTTGAATACAGTCCAACCCAATCTTTCTCAACTTTCAGACTTCAGCTCCCAGAATTCCCCAGCCAGCATGGTCTTCTCCAGGGAATTCTGGGAGGCCGCCCATCTTACAGGTCCAGAAGTGCTGGTTCCCCCTTAAGAAAAGAGAGAGACGATATCTGGGAACAGAGTGGACCTGAGAATCCAGCCCTTGAGACTAGGTGGACTTCAACTCCCAGAATTCTCTAGCCAACCTAGTCTGACTAGGGAATTCTGGGGAGTTGAAGTCCACAACCGTGAAAGCTGAGAAGCACTGTTTCGACTTGTCGATTTGCAGTCGTCCCCGACTTACAACCCAGGCTCCCATTACAGTCATAACTCGAGGACTCCCTCTTATTGCTTTGTAGTTCTGCCCCTTGGGCCTGGGCAACATTTCTGGCCTATTTTTCTGCCAGATTCCTTCTTCCCTGCTTGCTTGCAGGAGTCCGTTGGTTCCTCGATTGTGAGTTGAATCAACAACCGCTGTTTCCCCGCAGATCTCCGGAAGAAAACGGCGTTCTTGACAACGGCAGTCCTGGACGGAACCGTTCCGCTTACGGGTCTCACTCCAACCTGAATGGTGCCGAAAACCTGGAGAAAAGGCCAGAGAAGGAGCTGAAGTCGGCGGGCAGCGAGGCGACAGAGACCATCAGTCCGTTTGAGCTGAGCTACAGAAGTAAACACTATTACAATTTTCCCTTTATTGTTTTATTTGTATCTTGCCTTTATTATGTTTTATAAATAAGGCGGCAAACTTATCCGGCACACACCTTCCTCCTTCTATTTTTCTGGATTACCCAGCTGACTTTCCTGCCTAAGGCAGGACTAGAACTCCCAGTCTCCTGGTGATTGGCTTAAAGTCACCCAGCCGGCTTTCCTGCTAAGACAGGACTAGAATGCACAACCTCCTGCTTTCTCAGTGCCTTATGCACTAGTCTTCCCAAGCCCAAATTCCCACAACCTTATAATGGGCTGTGAGAAAATTCACTTTCCAGAGAGAGGTTCCGGACTTGCGTTAAAAACGCTTGTGTTCCATCGCGCAGGTGGCGTGATGGAGAGCCGTGGCCCGGGTCCCGCGACAGAGACGGACGTGGGGCCGATGAACAGCGAAGGATTCATTGAAGTCCTGACCAAGAAACAGCGGCGGCTGCTGGAAGAGGAACGCAGGAAGAAAGAACAAGCTGCCCAGGTGAGAAAAACCAGAAACGCAGGTCTTCCTTGACTTACAACCGTTCGTTTAGTGACTGTTCAACCTCCGGATCGGTAGGACTCAGGGACCGCTTCCTCCGAAGGAAGAGAAAACGGCACGTGGAAAGAATCTTAACTCCGTTGTTTTTGGGGGGTTCCTTCCCCCTCGTTTTATAGGCTCCGGCTAAGGGCCGCGTCCTTCAGTCGCGCATCCCACCCCGCTTTGCCAAAAAGCAGAACAGCCTGTGCCTCGAACAAGGGGACGTCTCGGTGCCTCGAAACACCTTGGGGACAGAAATTTGGGAGACCAACAGCGCAGGTGAGCCCACGTCTGGCCTCTTCCGGAGGTTTGGCATTTGCCGCTGTTGCAAGCGATCAAATCTGATGGGTTAGGAAACGTCTGCAAGAAAAAAACCCCAAGCTCAGAGAGCAACAAGGACCCCACAGTTGTCCTCCTCCTCCTCTTGTTTCTCCTATTCCTCCCCTTTTCTCCTCCTCCTCTTCCTTGCCTCCTCCTCCTCCTCACATACTGCTCCTTCCTAGCACTGACGATGTAACCTGGATGGGTCATGAAATAAGAAAGAAAACAACCAAGCTCTGAGAGCTGTGTGTGTGTGTTTGTGTGTGTAGAGATAGGTAGTAGGTAGATAATAGAGATAGAAATAGATATAGATACATAGATTAAATATAGATGGATAGATATAGTGATAGATATAGATATATGGAAAGAGAGAGAGGATAGATAAGATAGATAAAGATAGATAGACAAGATAGATAAGATAGATAGATAGATAGATAGATAGATAGATAGATAGATAGATAGATAGATATAAAAATAGATAGACAGATAGATAGATAGATAGATAGATAGAGATAAAGATAGATAGATAGATATAGAGATAAAGATAGATGATAGATAGATAGATAGATAGATAGATAGATAGATAGATAGATAGATTGATTTGTGTGCATATATGGGTATGTGTGTGCATTTTGAATTCCCATTTTCCAATGTGTCCCAGTCTGTTGACAGAAAAAAGTGACAATAAAGATTACCATATCTCCTTTTTTTGTATTATTTTTTTATTGCACATTTTCCTTTATCATACATCACATTTCCATTTCTACAATGACCGTGTACTGTCGGTATCATAGCTTTTTTTTAATATGCATCATATTATACGTCCTAGTTACAACTATTATTCTCATAATTATACAATGTAATCTCTTTCGAAAATACATAATAGGCATAGTATTGTACGCCATCATTTTGGCAGTTGTTCTGATCGTTCTACCATATAGTCTTCACTTCTAGTCACTCTCTCTCTCTCTCTCTCCCTCCTTTTCTGGCAGCTCTGTCCGTTCAGTCATCTGGTCCTGATTCCTGGAACAAGCCCATTGGCACTTTTATTGGAAACGAGACCGGCTCTGCGGAGGTCAGTGTGGCGCCCGATGGGTCCTTCTCTCACGCCCAGGAGAGTTGGGGATTTATAACTATGGGGCCCGAGGGTCAACCGGGGTGGGGTGGGGGACTAATCAAGGAGAGAAGCAACCTGGAACTAAGGAAAATTTCCTGATAGTTAGAACAATTAATCAGTGGAACGACTTCTGTCCAGAAGTTGTGAATGCTTTTAAGAAGTTTTTAAAAAGAGATTGGACAACCCTTTGTCTGTAGTGGGGTAGGGTTTCCTCCCTAAGCAGAGGGTTGGACTAGAAGACCTCCAAGGTCCCTTCCAACTCGGTTATTCTATTCTATTCTAAAAAAACGAACAAGCCAACATCCAGTTAAGGCGAACGCAATTCATGTCGCTCTAACTCCCCCAGCCTCCCTCTTCCTCGCAGGGGTTCAGAGGCAGCCAGGGAGACAGCGGCATCGACCTGAGCGCCGAGTCGCGGGAGTCTTCGGCCACTTCTTCCCAGCGCAGTTCTCCGTATGGCACCCTCAAACCCGAGGAGCTGAGCGGAGGCGGGCTGGCCGAGGCCAAGGGAGACGGGCCGAAAGAGCCAGCTCCGAAGCCGTTGGATAAGAAGGTAACCCGCCTTTTCCAGTCCTGGGGTAGCCGAACCTTGGCTCAAGGGGATGGCGGGAGGAAACGGAAGGAGGGCTTCCGTCTTTGGCATTTTTGTCAGACCTTTGGCGGAAGACACACACACACACACACACACACACACACACACCAGTTACGGTACAATGCCTCAGTCCCTGACTTCTTGGGAGGTGGGTGGAATATGGGTAAGCTTTATCCGAACCCGACGGTTTAAAACCCGGTGCCGTTCTTTTGAGCCTTCAAAAGGCGTTCCTCTAAAATTGGGGGTCAGATGGAAGGTGAGGATGGAAGCAGAGAAAGCGGAGGTGTGAAGGGATGAACTTTTTCATGTGGGATCCTGTTTTGGCCGATTGGCTGCTTTTAATAATGAACCAAAAAGTACAGTCCTTTATTTCCTTTTATTTCTGCCTCTGTTTCCTCCCTCCCTCCCTCTTTATCCCTGCCTCTTTTCCCATCCATTCCTTCTTTCTTTCTCCCCTCCCTCCTTCCCTCCCTTTTCATCCCTGCCTCTTTTCCCATCCATCCATCCATTCCTTCCTTTTTTCCTTCCTTCCTTCCCTCCCTCTCCCTTTATCACGGCCTCTTCCCTTTCTTTTCCCATCTCTCTCTCCCTTCCCTTTTTCACCTTTTCCCCACTCATCTTTTCCTCCCTTTTCTTCTCTTCCTTCCCCTTTCTCTTTCTCCCCACTCTCTTCCTTGCTTCTCCTCTTTTCCCATCCCTTTCCTCCTCCTCCTCCTCTTTTCTTCTCTTCCCTTCCCTCCCTCCCTCCATCTCAGCCTCTCTGTTTTCTTGCCCAGGACTCGGAGCAAGCCCTGACCCCAAACAAGGACCACAAACCGGGGCCCATCGGCAACGAGCGCTCCTTGAAAAACCGGAAAGGCTCGGAAGGGTCTGAACGGCTGGAGGGCAACATCGCCCCCACCAACGGGGTGGAGATTCACGTGGATTCGGTCCTCCCCGTCCCGCCCATTGAATTCGGAGTGAACCCTAAAGTGAGGCCCCTTCGCGTTTCCTTCTTCCTTTCCTTGGGCATCTCTCTCTTATTTCTCCTCCCTTCCAAGAGTCCCAAGTCGAAGGGGACAGTCCCCTCCTCAGTTTTCCTCCCCTCCCAAAGGAGAAAGCAGGTGTGTGGAGGGCCAACTAATCAATAGGCGCCTTTGCCACACACACCTCTCCCTCTAATCCAGGGGGCTCCAAACTCGGCAACTTAAAAGACTTGTGGACGTCTACTTCCAGAATTCTGGGAGTGGAAGTCCACAAGTCTTAAAGTTGCCGAGTTTGGGGACCTCCGTTTTGGGAGGTTTAACCCTATCCTTGCTTCCCAGTAAACCCAGTTGCAATGTGGAGGGTTGATTGGTAAAAAGAGACCGATTTGTTGCAGGATTCGGACTTCAATCTCCCCCCTGGCTCGTCTCCTGGCACCCCGGCCAACCCAGTTGCGAAGTTACAGAACGTGCTAGCCAGCAATGTAAGAATATTTTGTGGTTGGTGTTTTGGCTTCTCTTCATTCTTCGTCTTGTCTTCTTCCTCCTTTTCCTTCTCTTTCATTTTCCTCTCTTCCTTCGTCTTCTGCTGCTTTCTTGTTCTTTCCCATCTTCTACTACGCCTCTTCCTCTCTTCCTTTTTCTTCTCCGTTATCTTTTTTCCTTTTTTTTCATCTTTTTCCTTCTTCCCCTTTTCCTCTTCTCTCCCCCACTTCAGCTTCCCCTCCCGTTTTCTTTTCCTCGTTTTTTCCAACTCCTTCTCCACTTCTTCCTCCTTCCTCCTTTCCTCCATCTTTTTCTTCTTTCGTTTTCCTCTCTTTCCACTCCTTCACCGTTTTCTTCTTCCCTTTGTTATTTTCCCCCTTCTTACCTGCTCTTGTTTTATTCACCTGCTCTTATTTTATTCTTCCCCCTTTTTCAGTTTCTCCTTCTCCACTTCCTCCTCCACCTTCCTCTCCTCCTTTTGGAAATCAGGTGGAGATCTTCCCCGTCGTTTGGGAAATTACACACAGCTTAAAATGTGATTTGCATGTGCTTGTGTCTGTGTTTTATGTGTGTACTGCTCTACAATCTCTTTAAGAACTGATCTCCCAGCCTGCTCCTTTACTCACTGTTGATTCTGTCCTATTCTTTGTTTGACTGTACGTTAGGTTTCCACCAAAATGTTGCTGTCAGTTAACTGAGGCTCTTTTTCTTTCCATGAATCTTACAGAATTCTGCAAACCCAGCAAGGTTTAATTGTATCCCATCTATGTTTCAACAGTCTGGATTAACCCAATCCCTCCCTGTTATTCGAAGAGACCATCAACTTCCCCGTTGCATCAGCTTAAACATATCTTATCCTACGGCAGATCTCACTCTTAAAGTAAGTTTTTGTGGATGGGGATAACTCCCCCAAAGAGAAGGCACTTTGATGGACAGGTATCACTGCCAATGATGGACTACTGTCATCTCCCTCTCTGAGGAAGATGGGCAGATAAGAAATATGAACTGTAAATAAATAAAAAATTAAAAGCACACATTTGTCATCCTCAGGGCCTTAATCAGGATAACCAGATACAGGTAGTCCTCAGCTTATGACCACGATTGAGCCAAAATTTTATGTTGCTGAGTGAAATATATGTTATTTCTGACTTTCTGGCCTGTCCTTTGGATGCTACGATGCTAATTCTTGTCCCCCCTGTCCTCCTGCAGATGGAGTCAGCCCGAAAGGCGTGGGAAAACTCTCCCAGCCTTCCCGAACAGAACTCCCCCGGAGGCGTTGGCTCTGGCATTCAGCCCACATCCAGCATTGGGGTTTCCAGTGGGGTCAGCTACAGCTCCTTTGGGGGTGTTTCTGTCCCCCCGATGCCCGTGGCCTCTGTGGCGCCTTCTTCGATTCCAGGTGCGTCCATTTTTTTGAGAGCGGTGGGAAGAACTCGTAAAGACATGCCCTGCAAACAGTTGCTCTGACTAGGATTCGAAAATGTATCAGTCCTGGCTTATGGCTGTCCAGTTAGTCTTTCATTGGTCACTTCTGCTTCTCTTTGTGCCTCATCAGTGTTACTTTACTCCTATTTTATTGTAGGCTACATTAACAGAATCGTTAGAAAATCTGTTTATATATAGCACCTCAGAGCAAACAAAGAGTACAATCACCATGTGCTTTACTGCTTAACTATTTAACTGTAACAGCAAACTGCTTAGAACGAAAGTGCATAGAGTATATACCCTCCATCCAAACTGGTAAATACTGCCACCTGCTGGCTTAATACTACTGTAGTTGTGGCATAGATATATTTATTCCGACAAGAATTTTGCAAGTTTGGAAGTATAATTCTCCCACATTTCTCCAGGGAAACTATTCGCCTGAGAAACTAGGGAGGGTCAATTCTTGAGTCTCTCCCCTTCTCCATCTGCAGGCTAGGTAGCTTCTTTCTGATTGTACCCTAGACAGTGTCTTTGGGCACTATATCCCATGACGATTCCCACCTAGCATAGCAGAAGGACTCGTGCAAGCTACATTGAAAGCTTCCTGTTGTGGTCTCTGTGATGTATCCAATGGATCCTTCTGAGCCCCCGATTGTGCAATCAGCCAAAGGGCGTTTGAAGATATTCTATGCCTGAGAGACTCTTGGTCCTGCCGCCACGTCCAGAGAGGGGGAGGGGCCTTTGCATCTTTTAAGCGGAAGGGAGAGCAAGAGAAACATTTGCACGTGGACAAAATTAACCTCTCGCTTCTTTTCCCACCCGCTCCAGGGAACCACATGACGCCCCTTTATTTAGATGGGCACGTGTTTGCCAGCCAGCCGCGACTTGTTCCCCCGACAATACCTCAGCAACAAAGCTACCAACAGGCAAGTCACTGCTTTGCGTGTGTGTGTGTGTGTGTGTGTGTGTGTGTGAGAGAGAGAGAGAGAGAGAGAGAGAATATGTCCTGTGAAGACCTGCACCAATCAACTTTGGGTGATGTTTTGAGCAAAGTTTCAAAAATTCTGGGTCGAAGTCCATCCCTCCCCCGTTGGCCGTGATGATGAGACCTTCCTACTTCGATCTCACCCTCGGGGTTTTTTTTTCGTTCTTTCCTTCTTTCAGGCAGCTGCCGCTCAGCAGATTCCACTCTCCCTCCACACATCATTGCAAGCCCAGGCTCAGCTCGGATTGAGGGGCGGCCTTCCAGTGTCCCAGTCCCAGGAGATCTATAGCTCCATCCCTCCCTTCAGGTAACAGGATGAGTGACCTATTCAGTGGCCTGGCTTCACCCCCAAAGTCACCATTCCTCCTCCTTCATCTCCTCCTCTTCCTCTTCTCCTCTTCTTCCTTCTTCCTTCTTTTTCTCCTCCTCCTCCTCTTCCTCCCCCCACCTCTCCCTCCTCCTTCCTCCCTCCACTGGTAATGAAATGTTTGCAAGAAAGCAACCAAGCTCAGAGAGTACCACGGACCCCATAGTCCTCCTCTTATTCTTCTTCCCCCTCCTCTTCTGCTTCTCCTCTTCTCCTCTCTTCCTCCTCTCCTTCGCCTCCTCCTTTCCTCCTTCTCCTTCTCTTCCTCCTCCTCTCCTCCTTGTCTTCCTTCTTTTCCTCCTCCTCCTGCTCCTCCTCCTCCCTCTCCTTCCTTTCTCCCCCCTTTCTCCCTCCACTGGTAATGAAGTGTTTGCAAGAAAGCAGCCAAGCTCAGAGAGTACCACGGACCCCATAATCCTCCTATTCCTCCTCCTCCTCCTCCACCTTGTGCTCTGCTGCTTTTCATCCCTGATAGGCTGTTTTTCTCCCTTCAAGGTCTCAGGTCTACATGCACCCCAGCTTATCCCAGCCCAGCACGATGGTCCTGACCGGAGGCACAGCGTTGAAGGCGCCCTACTCCGCCTTCCCAGGGATGCAGCCATTGGAGATGGTGAAAACGCAGTCAGGCACCCCCTACCAGCCCGTAAACGGCAGCCAAGCTCTGGTTTACGAGGGTCAGATCAACCAGGCTTCCCAAATGATGGACTCGCAGCTTCAGCAGGTCTGGTCGAATCCCACGGTCGCGGCTGTTTCCCTCAGCATTTCGATTTAAGCAGGGGTCGGGCCAGGTCTGAAGTAGAGAGCAGTAGTAGCAACCAGTCCAGTACTGCTCAGCCTCAGCAGATTTGAGATTGTGGACTTCCACTACCCAGAATTCCCCGGTCCAGCATGCTTTAAGAAGGGTGGACTTCAACTCCCAGGATTCCTTTTGGCAAAGTAGATTGACCCTCCCCCACTCTTCATTCTGACCCACCTTCATATTCAAAATAAAATATATTGCTGATAAACCCCTAATTGCCACCCATCAAGCATCTCTTCCTTGCTTATCTACCCACAGCTAACGATGTCAATTCCGGGATCCCAGCTACCGATGGCCCGCTACGGATCTGGCCAGCAGCCTCTCTTATTATCCCAGTCCATGCACCTGTCCCAAGCTCAGAACCTCCCCGTTGGGGCCCCTCGCCGGATCCTCTCCCCCAACTCCCAGGCGTCTGCTCTGGTTGCAAACAGAGAGGTAAGAAGTAATTCTCAGTGTGTGTGTGGCACCTGTGTGTGAGTGTGCATCTTTCAAAATTTTTTATTTTTTTAAAAAAACCTTTTGAACCGTCGATGAAGTCTCATTCATCATCTTCAGGCTTGTGTCTTCGGCTTTGTGCTTCTCAATTACTCTGAGAAGCACAAAGCTGAAGACACAAGCCTAAAGATGATGAATGAGACTTCATCGAAACGTTGCCTAGATACTTCCAACTTTACGCGGGAGAAAACCCGAATAACCAAAGATCCATATATGTGTTTGTGTGTGTGTGTGTGTGTATTTATATCCCAACTATCTCTTTAACTTCCCCTTTTCTGCAAGATCAAATAATTTAGCTGTTTCTCTCTCTCCCCTCATTTTCATCTTCTAGTCTTCTCACATGGAAATCAAAGGATTCTCCTTTGCAGACACTAAACAGAACATCATTTCTGGTGGACCCATTCCGTCTTCTCACACTTACAGGTGAAAAAAATAATAATAATCCATGCTTAGATTTATTGGACCGGGGCAAAGACGGCGGGGTTCCTGGTTCTTAGAGAAAGTGGCTGGCTCCCTCAAATGGCTATTTATATAAATACCGGAAAGAGACAAAAATATCTGTAGTTGAACTGTGGGGACCATGGCACTCTCTGAGCTTGATGGTTTTTCTTGCAGACATTTCATTAGGTAACATCATCAGTGATACAGCAACATTAGCACTGGTGATGTTTACCTGGTTGGGTCATGAAACACCTGCCCAAAACCCCACCAAGCTCAGAGGCCACCAGGGAGTTTCAGTTTTCACAGCAGCAACCAGCTTTAGTACAGAACAGTTGAGCTAAGCCACGCCCAGGCTCCTTGCTGTCTCCTTGCTCACATGGCAAATACTGTTTCAGTTTCCAAACAGCCCTCAACCTTCTCACACACTAGCCAGATGAACTACGGATGGATGCTGGTAATCAGAGGCAGAATTCCCCCCCCCCCTTTATTTTCCTCCCTAAAAACAAAGCCCAACCAACGTAGTTTCGTAGCGAAGCGCGGTTACCGAGCTAGTAAAAAAAATAAAATGGAGTCTATGAACAGCTGGGCGTTATCTTGAGAACTTGATGTTAAATTATGTTGGGAATTAAATGGATGGAGAATGATTGGAGAGATCGGCTTGCTTTTCGCACCAAGCTGGTGCCACGGAATCCATTCTTGACTTGGAACGATGGTTTGCGTCGCGCCGTTTGTTATCTTCCACCGCTACCGCCCTCTCCTTCCCCTTTTCCCAGGCCCAGTTCTGCTAGCCCCAGCGGAAAGTCCTCCGGATCGGCCGTCGGCATGAGCTCTGCCCAAAGGCATTACATTCAACAGGTAACCCGGACACGGGCGCCAGACCCTTAACGGAGCGTCCTTAAGAGGTGGTTCCGTCAGCTCCCTTCTCGAGAACCGAACTTGCAACATCAGAGCTGGTTTCCCCACCAGGAGAAGCGAGGTGATAACAGGAGGAGGAGGGTGACTTAGGCCATGGTCCTCTTGGCCTCCTGGGGGATTCTGGGACAGGAGAACCTCCTGGGTGTTGCAGGGTCCAGGACTTCTCCTGTCCTTCTCCACACACACACACCCCCACTGCGAAGGGAAGGATTGTGGAGACGACCTTAGGAAAGGAATGGATGACCTTGGAGAGAAGAGGAAGGCCTTGAAGGGGAGATGAATGGCAACCGTCCTGGGAACAGGGAGAAGGAAACTC